TCTTCCATTAATTTTTTTTATATTGTAAATTTTTTTACCGTGTACGAATGAAAGTGAAAAAAATAAAACCTTGAAAAAATAAAATTTTGTAATCCATAATTCATAAGTAAGAAGACAATAACCTTATATTACTTAAAAAATTATATTATATTCAGAGTTCAAAAATCCGTGAAGGTCAAAACAAATTTTCTCTGTCACTCTACCAATTAAAAAACAATAAAACAAACAAAAAATTATAATAACTGTATTTTACCACGCAAAGCACTTATAAACTCATCATATCGATTTTTTTTTTTTTTCCACTTTCTATTTTATTATATCTGAAAAATATTTTCGCATGTAAGAAAAATAATGTAATAAATTAATATTGCATGATTCCAATATAATGTCGAGTGAGAGAACAGCATTGAAGCCATAAACATGAAGTACACTATGTTAAGATGAAATATAAAATTTCTCGTTTTTTGTATATTTAATACTTTATATTTAAAAAAATACGATTATAGATAAGTGTAATAATTTACTAGTATGATTAAAGATAACTATATTTTCGAGTTAATCGGCTAGAACGAGATAGCATGCAAGAGATAAATATACTAATAATTCTGCTTACTTATTTATTTTTTTTTTAGTTTTAATTTTACAGTGATGATGGTTATTAGTTTATGTAGGTGAAGGACATGAAGAATATATCATGTATCATGTATAATACTTTTATTTATTATATATGTTTTTATGTGTTTTCCCAACCAAGTTACACCGTGCCTTACTTCTCTCATGAATTTTCACTCGCGTGAACTCACTCCGGATGTCACTTCACTAAGTTGCTACTGACTTTCTTTAGACATTCTTCATATTAGTTTATATATTTACATATAAGTATGTATTTAGTAGGTATAAATATCATTGCAATTATTTTTTTTACTAGACTGAGCTAAAGTACATATCTGATATGTTATTGGGGAGGTATAGGATCGACTTCTAGCTTAGAATTTTTTTTTAAATAATCTTTGCTTTCAATGCATTAAAATTTATCATATAATTAAAAATTTTAGCCTCAAATTAATAAAAATTCGAGTCATACGTAAAGTTTAATTAAAAATTTTTAATTATACATTTATTGCTTAAGACTTTTAATAAAATTATTAATGATAGAAATATTCCAAGCATGTTAGCATCTTAATGTCTCGTGTGATAGTTAAAATTGAATAATAAAAAATAGAGATAGAAGAGAAATATGCCAGTAACTAAAAGACAAGTGTCACTTTATGGAGAAAAAAGAGAAAGTGTTGGTTTTCGAATTTCATTTTAGAGATAAATATAAATTTTTAGGAGAAATTAATTCTAGATTGATTGATTTCGATTTATTTAATTACTTTATGATGTTCTACTTTTTAATTTAGTTATTAACATTAATTTAGGCAGATAATTAATTTCATTTCTTTTTCAATTTTGCATAAAGTCGAGATGTTGATTTAATCTTCATAAATACTGTTTTCATGATAATTTAATTAAGTAAGTGAACATGAAAATTTTTAGAAAAATAATATATTATTGTATACAGTCAGAGTTTTATATCCAAAAAGTACAATTTCAAGTATTAGATTCTCGAACATTCCAGACATTTATAGTATTTTCTAGAGCATTCTGTCGTGATCATTAATTTGATACAAGTTTAAAAATCTCGAGAACTTTCGAATCATCTGAAAGGTGTTACAAATTATGAAACATATCTGTATTATTTTAAGTTTTTTTTACTAAAAACAATTTATTATTTACTAAACAAAAAAAAAATTTTTAATTGATGTAGAAAAGCCATTCGGCATTTGAAATGGAAGTAGATGGACTCTTAAAGCTCAACTAATCAACCGATTTTGTTCATCTTCCAACTCGTTCAAGGTATTTACCTAAAGAAGAATTAAGTATGCCGAGTTTCATAAGTTGTATTCCAAATACATACATACATATCCATAAAATTTTTAACGGATACTATTTTTTGCACCTATTTAATCCCCGGAAAAATGAAATGATAAAATTTTTGATAATCTCTACCATGAGATCAAATTCAATAGTTGTATTTCTAAATAAATATACTTAAAAAAATACTATTAGAATTAAAACTCAAGGACCTTCTCTATTGAAAATTTTATTCAACTTTGCTTTTATTACCGATTAATGAATTGTGTCCTATGTAGGTAATTCATTTACACGCCTTAATGCTCTTCTTAAGATTCATTATTAAAATGCATTATTTTGTTGACCCAAATAGATATTATGTATTGTGCTTAACAAAGAAAGATTTTTTTTTCCAAGTACAGTAACTTGTACAGTACAACATCCGAGAAAAGCAGCATATGCTACCTCATCATATTGAGAATGAGACCTCGTTTTATTTAACTAAACTTAAACATTTCCAGATTCATAATTAATAAATAATACTATTAATAATAAATTTTTTAATTATTCAAACAGATGTTTTTTTTTTTTTTTTTTTTTTTTATTTTTTTTTTTTTTTTTTTTTGTTGTACTAATCAGCGACATACAACACATTGACTAACACAAAATAAAACCGCGACCTCTCAATTCTTTTAAACCTGTGAAAATCTACTCTACTTACATTGTATTTCCTGGGGCGGTACATTGCATATTTTCTCACGACAGCTTTAAGATAAATAGAGCGGATAAAAGCAAATAGTGTTTTATACATTTAAAGGTTTGGTGGATATTTTTTGAACAAAATTACAAACATACTCAAAAATTCTAACAGCAACAGCAACAATAATTGTATGAAATTAAAAAAAAAAAAAATCATTTTCTCTCAATCCACAAAACATTTAATTTAAGAATAAGAAATTTGATAATGTTGAAATTTTCTCACGCATAAAATTGAGTAAGAGAAATGTGTAAAATGGAGCGTAAAATTACAGCAATAAAAAATTTAATTTCTGTTTATTAAATGTGATATTTAAAATAAGTGTGCTATTTTTTTTTTTTTTTTTTTTTTCTAAATTAATTATTATTAATATTTTAAAATAATAAAAATAAAATACAATCGCTAGTTTATATTTACACCAATAACCTACTTCCGGATCACACGGAGAGAAAGATATTGTTAAGTTACACACGCGCGTGCGTTTCATATCCCAGTTTCCGTCTCAGTTGACTAAGCGAATAACGTGATGTGATGTGTGTTAGCTTGTAACACTTCAGAGACATTATATTACTTCTCATGATTATAATCAGATAAATAAATTATTTAACTTATTAAATATATTATTTGTAGTCTGTATCATATCATAGCTAACTGGTTAAGAAACATTAAAGACAAATAATTACTGTATTAATTGTTGCACTAATCGTATGTTGTATATATAATAATACCTCAAATTGAAACTATGTCATCAAGATAAAATTAAAACTGGTTATAAGTTATAATTGTAATAGTTAAATTAATTAAATAATAATGTAAAAAATTTTACTGACTTACATTAACTTTGTTGAAAAATCTTTTTAAAATCCAATTGGTCACAATTAAAACCAGTTCATTGATGAAAAAATCTTTTCTATTTACTTAATAGTAAAACTTAATTAACATCCAATGCATAGTAATTATAATCAACACACAAATCACTAAATAACGTATTAATTAATTTTCTAGCTTGTGAGATTGATTAATTTGTTATTAGTAACTGAGTTTTTTTTTTTTTTATAATAATAATTTAGAGTTAATTTGATTTTTTAAAAACAAACTTTTGGAATTACTTGAGATGATTAAAAGTAATAATTATTAAGATGAAATGGCGACACTGATGAAATCGTAGCCTCTCGGACAACGAACTTAACCGGCACTAGAGTGTTCGAGGCGGCAGACCGGGACTCTCGTGTTGTGTATATATGCTTTTAGCTCTCAGTTCACCTGGTTGATTCTAAACCACCAACTGGTGAGCTGGTCGCCACGGGATTAAGCCTCATGCTTCTCATGCCTCGATGCTGTTCGATTCTCTCTTTCTTTTTTCACCAACGTCAACGTCTTTCTTCAGTAAAGAAGAATACTCTTTCTCTTTCCTCAATTCCCTCCAATTCAACAAACTCACATGTGCATGCTATGCTATGGCTTTTACCTCTACACTTATGTTGTTGATGCTCCTTTACTTTACCAAGAGTTTGCTATTGAGTACCCAACACACGGTATTTATGTTGCAGTTACACGGATATTCGTGTCGAGTGCTACTCAAGATGAGACAAATTCCTAAAATTCCTAAAAATTATCATCATGCAAAATCTTTTGCTATTTACAATAATTATTAATATATACTTACTGCTTATTACTTTTTTTTTTTTTTTTTTTTTTTTTTTTTCTTTTTACATAAAAAACAATCATTTGTTTTTAATTATTAGAAATGTTAATCGTTATTTAATTATAGCTTTTATAACTATCCATTAAATAGACCAGCAAATTTAGGAAACAAGATGTTAAAATACTCCAACATCCGGAGTCAAATAAATTGTTTTAAATAACCAATATACTAAATTTATTTTTTATCTTTTCAAGTATGAAAAAAAAGTGAAAAGTGTTTCATTTTTCAATGAGTACTTAGTTTTCTGAATATTATTCGATCAACTATATCTCGATAAAATTAAATTAAAGAAACCGTGACTATCATTATGACATTTACACGAAATGTAAACAGAGAAATAATTTTAAAAGATTAATTGCAATATAATATAATCTGAGCGGAAGAATTTTTTATTATAAAAAAAAATATTTTATAAATAATTTTTTTCTGTGTAAAATTGAAACAGCATATTAGATAAACACGTTGATCTATCGTTCGTTTTTTAAATAAAATATTTATTAGCTTTAAGTGGCTATTAAAAACGATATATAAATCGCTGCAGTTACAAACTCGGGCTCTAACAGTTTTGTGATATATATATATATATATATATATATATACATATTGTCAAGTTGTTAACACTCTAAAAAATAACAGTAAACTATGAAGTTATCAAAAGTTTCGGTATGTTTTGTTCTGAAGATATTTATCATAATTTCCATGAAGGTTGAGGAAAGTATTACTGATTTAATAAATTTATCTCAAACTGACGATTGGAAACTTTTAAATTCACTAGCCTCGGAAGGCCACTCTGCTTCAGGTGTTATGCAGAAAAAAATATTGAAAAAAGCTCTTCCGATAATAGCCAAGAATTATTTTACAATGAAATTAATTCTAGAATCTGTTGTAGTAGACAGTGCTGTTATGGAATATTCTAATGAGCCTGAAAATAATTCATATTTTTTCGTCAAGGCAGTAATTGGGGAGACTTATTGTCCTGATACCGAAAATGTGAATTATGATGTTGATCATAATAATGAGGAATGTTTCAAGCAAAGTATGGCGGTACCATTAAAATTGTGCACAATTCATATATTTTATGAGCCTCTAACCGAAAAGTTTGGAGATAATGCCATAAAATGTTGGGAAATGAAAAATGTTGACGTTAACGATGATTTTTTCAACTATCAAGTTCTAAAAGTTGCTGAAACGGAGATCAACAAACAAGTTCCACATTCTGATGATACGCTATTAGTTGTTATAGAGAGCGAAAGAGCTTCTGACATTTTCTTAAACAACTCAGAGATTTGGTACAACAAAATTTTCTATCTAAAACTTCAAGTTGAAAGCTGCTTGAAGGTTGATTATAAACGTGATGGATACTGCTTTTCGCCTGACGAACAAGATAGATCGTTGATCTGTTCTGGTGAAATAGATTTTGCTTCGGAAAAATCGAATCTCTATAAGGATTATACGTTTAATTGTGAATGAATTATGTTAAAAATTAAACAAATGTATTTTTTTTTCAATTATTCCTTTACCTCTGTTATAACTTGTTAATTATAAAATAATAAAAATAAAAATGCGTTGAAATAATATTTTTTTCTCGAATTTTTTATTAGTCAAACTTAACATTGACTCAATTATTATTATTTTCAAATTTTTGTACAATATGATTATTATTTTCCAGAATATTAATTCGAATTAATAGTTAACGGTGGCTGGTAATTTAAAAGAGATATTAACGACTAGAACGTTCGCAAGTCATTATTATTTTTTATTACCGTAAATAAATATAGGAAGTTCCATAATATCTGTATTTCACAAAATAGTCAAGAGAAAGGTGTGATAAAAGGACGGATAGAATCAACTCAATTCGTTCCTGTTCTTTCATTAATTTATTACCTGATAACGATAAATATACCGGAAAACGATTAATCTCTCTAAACTTTTTAATTCAAATTACTTAAATTTAAGCCACTAAAAGAGTGCGAAAAACTATTATCATTATTTAACATTATTAAGTAGTATCTTATTGTTTAAAACCTTAAAAAATCTGAAAAAGTATATAGAATATTTTTAAATAAAGAAGTTACAAACAAGTATGTTTAGTATGTAAATTAATTTCAAAGGAATTAAATAACGTGGACCGCTATCATAAGAGCCGATTGGTTGATATCAAGTCTCGTGAACATGTTTAGCATAGTCATAATCTTCTGTATATTTACGTTAATGTAAGGTCGACGAGTGATTTCTATAAAACCCGACTGACCAGAACGATCATCAGTATTTATCAGTATTGAACTTACCACCAGTGAAAGAGTTACTTCTATAAATATTATTTTCCCTTTTTTTTCATAATGAATAAAGAACTTAAGGTGATTAATATATTTTTGCAATACGCTTTCAATTTAAATATTTGACCATTTAAAATCACAGAGTCATATTTTAAATGTAAAATTATTATATTTATATAAATATGTAGATAGCAAAGTGAGAAATTCAATTCAGTTGATTACAAGTTTATCAAAGTAAATCTCGGTTAAGTAATAAGACACTTAAAAATTTTTATTACAGTATCTATCGGGCTTTGGCAATGAATTTTCAAGCGAAGACCCTCGTTGTCCAGGTGCGTTGCCAGTAGGTCAAAATAATCCACAGAAGTGTCCTTATGGTCTTTATGCTGAGCAATTGTCCGGTACCGCATTTACTGGTGAGCTAATTTTGCATCTGTTGGTTTTATTTTATACTTTTCTTCAGTGGAAAATAAATATATTGACTAGTATCTTTAAACCTCTATTTAATTCTTCAGCTTCCACCCAATTGACATTCTGTTATAATTTGATTATTCATATACGAATAAAAGTATTTCTTTTTTATATGAAAAGCTCCTCAAAAATATAACATTCATATTATTTGAAAATAGTTAGCTTTGATTTTTTTCTAAAATAATTCCATTATTTTTCGATTAATATTTATCGGTAGCAATAAAAGAATGAGTCAGTTTTTTAACTACATTTGGTAAAGCATTTAAGAACTTTTCGTGAGCATGGAAGTAATATTAAACAAAGTTAACAAAGTCACCTTGAGTTATCTAATTTATAGCTAACTGATTTATAGCTGATGTATTTAAATTTTTTTTAAATTTACTTTGTATTTTTTTAATTTTTTAAATTGGAAATATTTTTTTTGACGAGCTCAAAAATTCAAAAGTCAAAAGTAACTTCAATTATTATTGAAATATTATCGTGGTTCAAAATTAATTCTCTTTTGAATAACCTTCATTTTTTTTTTATTGATGTAGCTTTTGTCATTAACAAAGTACTCATGTAAAAATAACAAATGAGGATGGAAAATTTATTAACATAAAAACAAAAACATAATTTTAATACATAATGCATCCGGATATCGTTAATGATAATTAATAATTAACAAAAAAAAAAAAACTTACATTACATAATTCATATTTATTGTTTTTTGCTACTGAAAATTAATTACAACTTTATGAAGTGATGGATTGATTAATTGATTTTATTATATGCCAAGGCAAGGTGTCAAGTAGCAAAAATATTCAAATACAACATGAATTACAATAAGCTCATCAATCATCTTAATGAATGACTTTCATAACTTTATGAAACTTAATGAAGATTTTTTATATATTAATTATCATCTGGCGATTTCTTTAGATTTGCGTTAAATTAATATGAGAGAGACACTAATAGGACTCATAACGAGACTCGACTGTAAAAGTAAGAAATACTATTTTGATCTGCATTTATGTTTATGCTCTAGCACCACGGGATGATAATAAAAGAACATGGTTTTACCGTATAAAGCCATCAGTATGTCATGGGCCTTATGATCGCATCAAAACAACTAAACTTACACATGAGTGGAATATACCTGAACCCAATCCGGTAAATAGATTAATTTTATTGAATTATTAGTTACAAGTATGTCCAGTATTTAATAATAAATTTTACATCAAGTTAAACAATAATTAATATAATACTTTAAGTGGATTAATTTTCTTTATAACTAATTTAGTAATTTAATAATATTATGACAATTAAAAAAATTGTATTGTTACTGTCAATAAATAACTTTAACTCACTTAAAAAATTTTTTTTTTTGCTTTAATTACAGCTACGGTGGAACGTCTTTGACTTACCAACACGTCAGGATCCACCAATTGATTTTATTGAAGGTCTTCATACGATTTGTGGCGCTGGAGACTCCAGTGTTCGTAATGGAATAGCTATTCACGTTTATTTGTGCAATGCTTCTATGAAGAATTCAGCTGTTTATAATGCCGATGGAGACTTTTTGATTGGTATTTATTATTTTTAATAGATTGAAATTTTAATAATAATAATAATAATAATAATAATTAACGTGAATGATTTTTAGTACCTCAATTGGGAAGCTTAATAATAACAACAGAGTTTGGAAAAATAAATTTTGAGCCTAATGAAATTTGTGTTATCCAACAAGGGATGAAATTTTCTGTTAGTGTTTTGGGACCATCACGTGGATATATTTTAGAAGTCTTCGATAACCATTTTCAGTTGCCTAATCTAGGGCCAATCGGTATGTCTTATTAAAAATTTTAAATGAACAAAAAAAAATAAGTTTTGGGTTTTTTAGTTACCCTAATAAATGTCAAATTTTTACAGGAGCGAATGGTCTCGCAGCACCAAGAGATTTTTTGACACCTGTTGCATACTATGAAGATCGTGAAGAAGAATTTAAAGTCTATTGTAAATACCAAGGCGAATTGTTTGTATCAAAACAAAATCATAGTCCATTTGATGTTATCGCTTGGCACGGAAATTACGTTCCTTATAAATATGATTTGAATAAATTCATGGTCATTAATTCAGTATCTTTCGACCATTGCGTAAGTGATGCAAATTAATTGTCATAAAAGAGAGAGAGAGAGAGAGAGAGAGAGAGAGAGAGAGAGAGAGAGAGAGAGAGAGAGAGAGAGAGAGAGAGAGAGAGAGAGAGAGAGAGAGAAATAATGTTGACCTTTAGGATCCGTCGATCTTCACACTTTTGACATGTCCGTCATTGAAGCCAGGAACAGCGATAGCGGATTTTGTAATTTTTCCGCCGAGATGGTCTGTACAAGAGAATACTTTAGAGAGAGAGAGAGAGAAAAAAAACAATTAACACGAGAAAATAAATAATGTTGACCTTTAGGATCCGTCGATCTTCACACTTTTGACATGTCCGTCATTGAAGCCAGGAACAGCGATAGCGGATTTTGTAATTTTTCCGCCGAGATGGTCTGTACAAGAGAATACTTTTCGCCCGCCGTATTACCACAGTGAGTAATTTTAATTAAATTGAAATTTGCGGCTCTTGGATATACCTACCAAGCGAAGTTTTATTTAACGCGGAATGTAGTTAACGATCTAATCTTTAAAACTAAAGAGAAAACGTATAATATTTACCAAGTCGCATTCTTAATTCGCGAGAATGTCAATCATTCTGAAATAAGACTAGACTATTGTTCTGTGTTTCATCATTTCTTTGTAGTGTTTTCCCTTTTCTCGGTTGTCACGCCCACTGACGAGGAAATCGCACATTTCTTCAGCGACGCACTTTTTTTTTTTTTTTTTGTTTATAAAATAAAATAAAAGGCATGAATGTACGTTGTCACAATTGAGTTTGTTTCTTTTTATAGGAAACTGCATGAGCGAGTTCATGGGATTAATTAAAGGACGCTATGAAGCTAAAGAAGACGGTTTCCAGGCTGGAGGTGCTTCTTTGCACACTATAATGACTCCTCATGGGCCTGATGTTAAATGTTTTGAAGGTGCTTGTAAAGCGGAATTGAAGCCTGAGAAAATTGCAGAAGGTACCATGGCATTCATGTTTGAAACTTCGTTATGCATGAACTTGACTTCTTGGGCCGCTCAAAGTAATAAACTTGATCCTAATTACTATAAATGTTGGGAAGGTTTGAAAAAAAGTTTTAATGGTAATCTTAAAGCTTGATTGTCAATTAAATTTATTAATTGAATCTTATTTTTGATCTTATTTTTATTTTTTAGATGTGTAAATTTTTTTGTAAACTTTTAAATAGATTATGTACTACAATTTTAAAAATCTACAGAATCACAAAAGTATAATTGTAATGTTTCAATAAATATTAAATAAATTCCTTTTATGTATTGAATAAAAACTTTTCAGCCTTTTCATTTGATTATAAAAGAAAAAACAGACTTCCACTGATGGTCATCTTAACTGAAACTTGCTGTCAATCTACGTTCGCAATTTGAAGCTAACTTAACGTAAAGAATTGGAAAAGCATCTTGATCAAGAGTTTGCATTTAATTGCGGCCGTAGATTTTCATCATCTTGTATATACAACTGTGGTTCAGCAAAGAAATTAATCGTTTGACGTTAAGTTAACTAAGTTAACCGCAATTCCTTTCTCAGCATTTGGTAATATCACTTCCTTGTTTGATGAGTGTTGTTTCGTTAGTTTTGTCTTTATTCTTATTGATATATATATTAATATTAACAATTAAATAGCTTCAACAAATTTGAAGTAACTGCGTATTTTTTTTAGGATATTCTATTTTTTATGAATGTTATTTGTAATTTTTAAGAATAAGATGTTGAAAAGGGGCGATCACAATTTTGTTTATTTGCATGAATATCATATAAATTCGAAAAATCACCTGAGTTTTCGCATTGAAGAAGAAAACTTTATTTCTTATACTGAAAAATAAATTGAAACCTGTTGTAAAAAAGCATTTTTCACTTATTACTACACGCATACAAAATTTAAAAGGATGTAAAATACAGTTTTTAAATTTTCAAACTGGAACTTTTGGATAATTTATCAGTTATATTACAAAAATAAATTTTTAAAAATTAATTTTTCAATTATATACGGCTAAACAATTTATAAATAAAAGCGATACAATATGGATGCCTGTTTCAGAAGTTCCCGCTTTTAATTCTCGGATAAAATATGGCTGACGATGAATTCCCCCCCCCCCCCCCCCTTTCGTCTTCTGGGAATGTATAGCTCTTTGTCCACAGTTCCAGTTACTCAACCTGTCAGCTGTGGTTGTGTGTCACCAGCACAAGATAATCGTTTTATTGTCTTTCAATAAACAAAATCAATATCTATAATAAATAAACAATGTGAATTATTAACAACAGAAACACATTAGTATATTACTTTAATCGTAAATATGTAAGACTGAATCGGATCTAATTAAGTAATAATGACGAAAAAAATACTTTTCTTATGAAACGACTTGCTATCAATTATTTTATATCATAAACTAAGTAAAATGTGGACAACTAAAATACTTACATTAGTGATTTTTATATATTGTTTAATTACAACTGTATTTGCATCAAAAGAGTGCTACTCTGACTTTTGTCATAAAACAGTAAGCAATTATAATTAATTTTTTCACTCCATTCCTTTGAAAAAAATTTGATTTTAATAAATAAAATCATCCGAATTATTTTTATAATTTTTGATTATTAACTATGAAGGAAATCATGTTGGTGTAACAGCTCCTTAATATTATATATAAATATTATTAACTCTTCAGAAGATAATTATTGGAGCCGCAACGTTTCGCAATTATTTATTGCTTTTTATAAAATTTCTTAAATAATGTATCTACCTATTAAAAATAGATCTTATTTTTTATTTTATTCCTTATTCATCAGAATTATTTGGAATTTAGTTGAATACTAATTTTTTAATGAATTTCAGACAGCAACTTTTTCATCAGAAAAACCAAGATGTCTCATAACACCAATTAAAAAAGATATCGATTGCATGAATTTTAAATTTCATAATTTAGGAGCAGGATCACGAGTAAAAATACCATTTTCTGATATTAAATTATCTGCATACGTCTTAGCTTTCCCTGAACTCCACACTAAAGTCACGGCATTTAATCTTACAGTCAATAATGCAGCGTTTAACCGTGAGTACATATGCCAAATATAACGGGAGTTAAATTAACATATATTTGTAGTTAAAAACCAAATTTTATAAATACAATTCACAGGAATGACTACTAGATATCAAGAATTGGGAGCACAAAAATCATATTGCAGACATATCCAACTAGGTGATCTTAAGGAAGCAAATGAATTACCTAATTTGTTCATATCCTGTCCATTCTCAAATTCTTCGTTCGAAGGTGTTCCTTATAGACTAGAATACCTTATTACGGGCAATAATTATGAGTACAGTAAAAAGTTTGTATTTCAAGTTCCTGATCACCTATCTATTGGTATGTTAAAAGCCTGCTGTCTTTATTTATCCTAGTTATTATGATAGATAATAATTAATTATTGATATTTTCAGATGAAAGTATTGAAAATGTCCAGAACTATGTTCCATTTTTTTACATCGAAGTTTCAGATGCTAAACTCTCCCTCCACATTCAATCCGTGCCAGAAAAATATAATGTTACACGCTACAGAATTTGGATGATTAATAATGACACTAAATTAATAAAATCATTTGACTTGACAGCGAATGGTAGAAAACATTTGAAATATGAGTTTCTTGTTACCGAAGGTGTTCATTATTTCAAAGTCGCTGCAATGCATACCGACTGTGGTGACTACGGATGTAATAATAGCACATCCCCAGTTATTAGCACAAGTAACTTATTTATTTATTTATTTATTTATTTTTTTAATAGAAAGTATTATTGAATAATTACTGAAATATAAAATTATTTTTACAGAACAGCCCACGAGACGTTTATTAATTATGATTGTCAGTGTTGTGTGGATTCCACCTGTGATATTATACGCTATTTATTACTTTTATAAATTATACCAAAAAAGAGGTATTTATTGATTTTCATTTAATGTAGTTATTACAATCAAATTTCAAGATAGTTTAAAATTGTTCATCTGAATGAACAATATTAATTAATATTGTTTAATTGCAGAGATCTTCAAAAGAATTAATAGAAAACCTAATTGTTTATTAGTATATTCACCAACACATTTGGCGCATATCAGTGTGATTTCTGATTTGGCAAAGTACTTAAAAATTTGTAATATTAATGCAATGATGGATGTACTTGATATTTCTGAAACTGATTCAAAGGTACGTAAAAAATTAGTCAAACTATGATTTTTTTAAAATATATATTTTATTTTATGTAGGTATATGTAAAAATAAATAATTAATATGGTTGATATTTAAATATGGTTTATTAATATTTAGGATCCAGGTCTTTGGTGTAATGCAGCATTTAAAAAAGCCGACGTAATTGCTGTGGTAACATCACCTTCACTTAAAGACACAAATATACCGATAATTTATCGTAATATCGACAGTCATGCATTGAAATTGATTAAAGAAAACTATTCGTGGAATAGCAAAAGATATATTACAATAGAATTTCCATATTGTAAATCGAGTGATATATATATACCGGAAGAAGCGGCTGTATTTAAAAAGTTTATTATTCCAGAGAATTTAGAAAAGTTGATACATTGTATACATAATACTGATTATATACAATTTTACGATGTTTCAAATAAAAATCTGTTAGAGAGCATTGAAATTGCGACGATTGAGATCAATAAGGAAATTTTGAATAGTTCTCAAAGTAGAGCAGACAATGGTAATACATTGAGATGCTAAATTTATTATTTATTAAACTCAAATAATGCTTTTTGTATTGATTTTAGATAAAATTTTGCCATCAAACGTAATCTCAAAAATAAAAAACGTTCACGCCGATGAAAATCACTGCCAACCTGAAGAATCATCTCATGTTATAGCGGATACTAAAGATTCGAAATGTTTTAATACTAAAATTAGTGAGTTGAACTTATTAGGTGAAGATTTAAAATCTGAGATGGATACTTGTGAGTATACATTTCCTGATACTGACAATGAATTCCGTGTTGATCGATTAGATTTATAAAAAAAAAACATTGTTTTAATATATTTATGTGTTAAGATTTTTTTGTATCTTTTGTTATTTAAAAATAAATATCATTAAATGATTACTGATTTAATTGTAAAATTATTTCAAAAGAACGTTGTACATAATATTAAAAAATTATTTTTTTCATGTATGAACTAAAATTATATTAAACGCATAATGAATTTATGAGACAATCCATTAAAAAAATCAATTAAATTTAATAGTGTGTCTATTTATATTGATTTATTAATACAAATTTCATAAACATACCTTAATTGGACCGATAGTACTAATGCTTTATTCAAATAAATTAATATTGTTCCGTTAGCGCAACGCGCAGAAGGAAAACAAATTTGTAAACTACTGATGGTTAGTATCTTTTGGGCAGCATGTTTGATCACTTATTGGTTCTCGAGAATAAATGTATATATCTATTTAATTATACAAACAATAGTTTTCAATGATCCAAAGACGATTAATAAAATTTTGGATTTTGCTGAAAGTTTTTGGTATTTCGTTGCAAGCGGTGAAAAAAGATGAGCGTCAGATTCAATTAATGAGAGCGGAAAGAAATATCGTTGAGGATGCTGTTGTAAGGATATGCTTTTACACTTTAAAAGATTTGTAAAAAAAAATTTACCTTTTAAATGTTGCAATTTTCTATTTTCAGGCTCATATTCTCGAATCATGCTTCCCGCATTTCAAAAATATTTTGAACATGACTGAATTGAGAAGCAAGTACATTTTCGAATCTCTACGAAACTACTTTCAGCTGCCGGTAGTTTCTATAGATGTACATCAACACAAAAAAGTACAATTAACGGAAGATTTTGACGCTATTATTACAACGTCTAAAAAATTCAAAGAAGAACAGTTAACTAAACTTGATATCTATGAAAAATTTCATATTTTTACCAAGGGCTTGTTGTTTATCATAAATGATGGGACGCATGATTGCTTGTGGTCTTTGATTCATTTCAATGAAGCACAGTTTAGACAGTACGCAAAAACATATTTTTTCTGTATCGCGCACAAAAAAGATATCTTGATACTTATACACACAATCCCGGAGTTACGTGGGCTCCACCGGCTTGGAAAAGATCAAAGTTTGGGAAACAAATTTCGGGGCAGAAAAAAAAAATGGAAGGAATGAAGAAATTGAGATGTTTATCCATCAGTGATACTATTCAAAAGGTATATCTTTATCCTTTTTCTTCGTTTCTATATTTTGAATAAATATAAAATCAACTAATTGTTCTTTCAGATAATATTTGTCAAGACTTTACTTATGACGTCAGTAAAAAATCTCAAAAACTATCAATTGAAAATGGTATCATTGGGCAAAAAAGTACAACAGACCTTTTTTTGACGTTAAACTCTCAAATACCTTAAAAAAAGTCTTCGGCGTAACTCCATCATTGCAAACTCTATTGAGCTCAGAAATTCACAAGCTTATGCGGAAAAATAGGTTTTAGGTTCAGGCTTGGTAAACGTTGTAGAGACCATACTTATTGACACTTATTATCATTATGAATACAAAATGAATTTTCTACGGCGGCACATGTTTCGGTTCTCAGACAATATGCTCCTAATCCTGGCACACATGTTCCGTTTCTTGCAAAATAATTGTGCGACGACAAGTACACCTCTTGTGTGTTCCACATATAGTGAATTGGGAATCATTACAATCTGAATTCTTGGTACAACCATCATGCAAAATAGTCTCTACAGAAAAATTTCATATTGAAAGGAATGTCTGCAAGGTTTTTACTGTAATTTACTTACTTGGTACACAAACTCCATTTCGTGATTTATAATCGGGGTTGCATTTACACACATTTTCAATGCATGCAGAGTTTTCATCGGCACAAAGTTTATCGTTCTCACAATTAATATCTAACTGTGGGAGACAACCGTTTTCAGTTAAAGTGTAATTGGGTTTATATTTACATCGATTTTCAAAGGAACAAGTTGCATACCTTGAAAAAGTTTTACAGTAGTCGGAATTGTAGCAGAGGATACGTCTAAAATATAGAAATTTTAGTTACGCTTGATCTCAATTAGGTATTAATAAGAAAAATTAAAAATTATAGAAGATAATAAAATATAGAAGGCACATTACAAATCTTTCAAGGGCATTATCAACTTATCAATAGTTATAAATTATAAATAATAATTAATACATTACTGTTAAAGTTACTAATGCACTGACGATCGAAACCCTGGATAAATCTGACTGTGCATCGACACTCTTTATCAATACAAACGGCATTAGTAGTGGCACATTCTTCGTTGTTCCAACAAAATCCTCCCAATAACGGAACGCACGTTCCATTTATTTAGAGATTTTTTGATCTACAAACGCATTTATTTTCATCTGAACATTTAGCATGAACAATATGATCACGCACTCCGGGTCAGACAAACAAAATTTACCTAATCCACCTTAAAATACAATTTACAAAGTTAAAATCCGTAAATTACATATTATATTGATTTTTTATTGATCACAACGTTCTTGATCACAAGTGTAATGCATATCGAGTATAATAAGTTTGCATTTAGTATTTGTATCGCAACACGCATATTCAAGGTCAGGATTGCACTATTTTGATAAAAACAAAATAAACGTGATAGAATAAATTGAAGAAATTCTAGTGGAAATTAGTTTGAAACAATTTTTTATATTTACTATACTTTCAGGATCAGCGCAGTCAGTTCTTACACTTTTGTGAATTACTAATTACTTGAGTGTAAAATAAAATACCAATAAAAATCGATATCGTCAGTACAAACAGTATTGCATTAAACAGTAGAAAAAAAAGATAAATATAGGATAAATCTTTTAATGAATGAGCTTTTTACACGTACTAACTTTTAAATCGGCTCAGAAGTTACTCAATGCTGCATCAATCGAGTTCATATTTTATCTAAAATTACATTTTATCATAAAAAAAAAACAAGTGTAATTAACACACATGGCTGCTTAATACAATTGAACTGTAGAAATTAAAAACTTTATTTCTTCAAGTATTAACTTGCGCATACTCTTGCGCAATAACAAAAATAGAATTTTATTGCTCAGTATATGTTGTATTCAAACCGGTTGTCTTCATTTAAGAATTCTTTGTTTTGAAATTTATTTTTTTTTTGAGAGGTTAAAGGGCTTGGAATTAATACAATAATTGCATACTACAAAAATTCCATTAAATATAAAATTTATTGTAAATGGTAATGTTAGAATATTTTTTTTATTAAAAAAAATTTTTATTCTTAACACTATATTTTTGACCATGTAACACAATAACTATCAATATTATTTCATTGTGAATCTAATATCATAATTCGAAACTATTCGATCAGTTTACCAATGCATATAGTCATTTGCAATGCCCGATGGTTGCGCTTGTATTGTCTAGATCTGAGTATACCACAGAATCTCGGTAGTAAATCATCTTATCGATCGAACAGAACTGAGAATCTTCTTTGTCGATTCGATCAATGGGGCTAAAATTCTGGTTAAAGTAAATGGTGATCTTATCCAAATAAATAACATCATCATCCTAAAATAATCATGTGCCATCAATACGGCTAAAAGTAATTATCTTGACTAACGATTAATAGTTAATAGTAAAACGATAAATATACTCACGTGTTCACGTGTGCATTCTATATCTGCTTTTTTACCATGAATTTTTTTGGAAACAGCATTTAGTATCGCCTGATACTAAACTAGTAACTGTTTCCTGGAACAATTTTCGATTGACGAAGAATCGCATCCATGTTGTACTGATCGAACAGTTCAAGAGACTTTCCATAGTATTTGAATTCATACTGTCAAGGCCCTTGAAATAAGCATTACACCTAATTTCGAACTTCCAACGGAACCCAAACGCCTCTTCAACATCAGTGTGACCAGTAGTCCTCGCAGCTCCCCATTTGTCAAAGAGTTCTTGTTCTATAGATGATATGTTCTTAGCATTGAAATCTTCGCTAGGTTCGCAAAGTGATCTATGAACCAGCAAGTCCCCGGTGCTTTGCATTTGCTAATGTCATCTTCGTAGCAAGTGAATTGGTCACTCTGTTGTTCGAATACGTAGTGACCGTTGTTATCTTTCCTGGAAGTTGAGTTGTATTTACTTATGACCGTCTCAGTTAAAATTTTAGCAGACTAAATTTGCGGATAAATACTTACAAAAGTGTTGGATACTTGACGGCAGGATCTTCAAAAACTCTATAATCCTCCTCTGAGTCTAAGGGCGAGTTAAAGTCGATCACTTCCGTCGGCTTAGAAGAAACTTATAGAGGATCGTAGCTGATAGGTATGTCCTTCGGGCATTGCTCAGGATATTTTCCATCAATAGCGTTGATTAGTCTGAAGGTTTTGTCGAAGAACATTGTGATCTTTTCTATAACTTGTACACGTTATGCGACTGAAAATAAATTCAATGAAAATATTTTTATAATAATTTATGGAATAACCTTTCAGTGAATTGATTAATCCTAAAAAATATTCTCAACAGAAAACGTTAATTTATTAATGTAATACAGAAATTAACTTACAAACAATTCAGACTCCAATGAACACCTCAATAAAGGTTTCTTTCCATGCAAACTGCCGGCAAGAACATCCAGTATCTCTTGAGCTTTGTATTTATTTCCTGGAATAATATTCCCCTTGCGCAGAATCCTGTTCATGTTGTATACTTGTTGAACAATTTGGAAACTCTGCTGAAATACTTGGCACCAGTTCTCAGTTGCTTAACCTGTGAAGTGCATCCTCCAAATGACCGCCAAATTTTCCGAGCCAGAATTGACGAATCTTCTGACCCAATCTTCGCCTCTACGGGTCCATATCTTTTTCAAGTTCCTCAGAGTTGACGATGCAACAGTTCTTGGACAATTCAATTTGATAAAAGGCTTTGAGCATTTGAATGATGAGTCATTTTTGGATTGGTGCATCAATTCGGAAACAAACCACGGGTTTTCGGGGTGGTCGCACGCCGTTATGTGATTGCTGCCTTCATGACAGTGATTTGGAATGAACTCTTGGGTAAAAACGATCTGGATATTACTCTTTATGTTATAATTATTTTGAAAACGATTACCAAAGAAAGTTATTTTTTGCATATTTAAGGTTGTTAATACCAAGTAATAATGTATAAATAGATAGTTACCATTTGGTGTGTACTGCCAAAAAAATAAACGTAAAGAGAAAAAGTGATTTTTTTCTTATCTTTCATGATATTTTATATTAAATAAGTTGGTTATAGTAACCAAAATGTAAACTGAAGATTTACTTTATTCGAATATGCATCATTTATACTTTAGCACTTAATTGTTGGTAGGGATAACAAATTTTATGTGACGATTAATTTATAAGATGTTAATTAACGTATAGAAGGTACTCCAACCTTGTAAAATTTAGATAAAAACCTGAAAATTTCAATGTCAGTAACGAGTGTCAAATGATTATACTCCAAGGTTAATGAATATTTGGATGGTAAAATTCTAAACTTTGTTTTTAGATATTTATAATTTAAATATTTTTATATTAAAGTAAAAACTATAATGAGTCAACGAATAAAAAAAAAAAAAAAAAAAAAAAACATAAATTTAGAATTAATTGTAATTTTATTTATTTTCTCGTAAATAATAGTTGAGCGATCTCAAATAATAGTAAGCAACAAATACCAGTTTGTTTACATCAAAAGGAATAAGACATTTATTCATTAGTAAACTATATCATTGGATCGCGTATGTAAATCTTATATATATGCTCATCTTCCGATTACCAAAACCTACAAATCATAGTCAAAATACAGAAGGTTTTTGTTTACATATTTATCAAAGGTCAGCTTCATTTATTTTCTTGGTCTGACGACTGTCGAAAACATAAAACGCTGGTAAAAGCTTTCGGCTATCGTTTGAAAACTTGCTCGAGTTCTATTTTATCAACGGAAGCTTTGATGTTCCTAAATCTTTAGAGCTGAAAATATTGTAAATTTTAAATGCAAATTGGTTAATTTGATTCGAGAATTAATATAAGTTATTTTAGTTCCCATAAAATTTATTTTTATTAAATTTTTTAGTAATATCTCAAATCAAAAAAACTTTTTGCAATAAAATAAATAAGTTGGATCATGAAACAAAGATGAAGTGAGAAAATTTTATATTCGTTTGTGACTGGAAAAGGATAAAAGTTAAATTATTTTTAGTAGTATAAAAAACTATCGGAGATTCCATTGTTACTGATGGCAAAAAAGAAGAAGATCTCCGGAGATCTTGTGTGAAAATCCTCGTACTGGTAGCATTTCTCAATCACATAAATAACTGTCGTAAGAATTGAGAAGGGTAGGTTTAAAGAGGAAAACCCCTGTTGAAAAGAAAAGAAAGTGTACTGCTTTTACTATTTTATTCAAGTATTTTTCCTTTATATCGTAAAAGTTCAAAACTAAAAGTACTAAACTTCAATAAAAATGATTGTTTTTTGATTTTTTTTTTAACATGATTATCATACTCAATCAAAATAAATTATAAAATTTTTTTAATTTGACGAAATAGCCGAATGATATGCAGATCAGACGATTTCCCCTGGTTATTGGAAATAACTATTCGTTATGCATGACATTGCAGTATAATAAAGGTACCATTGTAATTTATTGTCATCAAGTTATAGTCGGTTCAATTTACTCTAAATAAATAAATCTATCTCTGTTAATGATAATATTTTATTCAGAATTTATCTGTATTTGTATTCATGTTTTAAATATCTTGAGTATTTATTTTTCTATTTGAAAATATTGATTTGAAAATTTCCTCACACCATACCCCGGATCTCTGGTGAAAATACGGCGGAACGTCGAGGGTCGTTGAAACAAAGACGCTCAATAAGTACTTCTTATTTTAAAAGTCTTAAAACGCAATACAATGTCTGTTTTACGATATTCCCTTCAGGATCACCTACTCTCTCATACTTTTCACCCCGAACCCTAACGCATATGGACCTTTTTTGGCCCCATAAATTTACTTTATATCTTTTAATGTAGCTTGCACACTACAAACTAACATTTTACTTCCCTCCGAAAGCATATATCCCTCACTTAAGCTTTTAACAAGGTGCTCGGTTATATTTTTCGTATTATTAAATACTCTTTGTCGCGTTTGGCGTTCCTCTAACAGATTTCCTTTACGATACTTTGTAGTTTCGCAGTTAATTTTATCTACCTGTTTTTTTTTTTTCGTCAAACTATGTATTCATCGATGAATGAATATAAAATTTTATGCTAATATCTTAGACCATATTACCCTAGAAAGTTTTCAATAAAAATTATATTCGTTTAGCAAAATTTCTGTAATAATATTATCAAACTCTTTTATTCAACCCTTTATACTGTCAAGCATTTGAAGTGCTAAATCTTGTCTTGTTAAGGTTAAATAATTTCAATCGTCTCTATTATTATATTCATATTGAATTTTAAGACAGAGATTTACGGTTCAGCATTTGATATATTATTAGTAAATGATATAGTAAAATAATAAGCCTATTAAATTTTTGAAAAGCTCAAGAGAATAAAAATATTGAGCTTACAGACATGCCTTTTAAGATTTATCAAATTTAAAAAGTAAATAATATCTGATATTATTTTTATATGGTTAATTAAAATGTCAAAATTGAGTGACTGCCAAAATTTAGCGATATTAAATGTCGAAACGGATTGGAACGCGGTCAACGAACATATTCCCGAGGGTCTTTGCTGGTTTATTTGACCATCAACACAGGACCAGTAAAATGGCAATAGTAATAGCAAAAGCATTGGCAGTGGCAACCGAAGAGCTTTTTAAAGGATGGGAAAAACTGAACGGAAGCCCCACTAGATGGAGCTGCTCTAACTTAAGATATATGTGAAGATGAGCTATTTCTTGGCGCACGACCCGTTGTACTTAATTTTATGGAGAAGAGTAGGTATATATATCGCTCGATCTACGCTTGTGTTCTTTGGTTATTACTTTATAACCCGATTAATTAGTTCGTTGCGGCTTCTGCAGAGGGTTAAGTTATGTACCAGTATATATATATATATATATATATATATATATATATATATATATACTATTATATTGTATAATATGTATAGAATAATTTAGGTGCTTATTTAATACTTTGAAATATTACCAAATTAGATTATCTGTATCGCATTAAAGTTTTGATTATTTCATTGAACGATGCAATTTTAAAATATAATTCATTTGAAAACTTTTCGCTTAAGTAACTTGAGTACAGATAGAAACGACGCGATGCAAACCTAATATCAAAAGTACTCTGTAGGCTATATCATTAATATTCGAGAGAATACTCGAGAGAATAAAAAAAAACATTTTTTAAGTAATAAAGTGATGAGGCAAAAGCTCTGGACTTTGCGAGAGTGAATTGAAATAACTATTATATTTGAGTAAGCTTCAAAAGTTTTTTTTCTTCAATTAAGCTATTTACTTTAATTTATGTTTATAATTATTGGATTAATGCTTTTGATGAGAACATTTTAAATATCGTAAAGTGTTAAGTATATATATATATATAGAGCAGCAGTAATAAAAATATTTTAGTGGAATGCAAAGCAAAGTGAATAAGGAATAAATAATAGCAAATCCGGTGAGAGTGCAACTAAAAGCTTGCAACAAAACGGACTTATTTTTATGAATGGCACGCAGAATAACACGATGCGACGGTGCAAATTTCTATACTGCTAACTATCTCTGAGTTAATATATGAGAGAAATAAAAAAAAAAAATAGAAATGAAATATGATAAGTAAATAATTAAAGATTAAAATCTAGCTTGCTTAAATATATTTATTACGAATGTTAAATTAAGAAATCTCTTTCATCTTGTGCTGAAAATTTTTTTTCGTTAAAAATATGAAAAAACTAATGATAAGAAATAAACTTTTCAGTAAAAGCAAAAAATCTCATATTATATGAGAATAAAATATTTATTTAATAATTATCATCCTTACTGAAAAAGTAATTGAAACTATCTATAATGAGAATGACAGAAAAGAGCCCTCATCTCCATTTAATTATGATATTTACAGTGTATACAAAAGGATATGGGATAAAGGAGAAGCTAGGGGAAAGATTGTATTTAGGTCGGTCGTATTTTAACAGAAAGCTAGAAGATCCTTAGTATTAACCGCCTTCATTTAACTAGGGTTCAATTTACACTGAATGCAACATCTAAATTAATCCAACCACTTAGAAATAGAAGTATCATGTATCATGTTGTATATATACTTAATATCAAAAACAACGAAAATGGGAATAAGAGGACGAACATGGTGGTTTAAATCAGGAGTAAAGTTGTGTAGAGGTATATAAAATAGCCGAGGTATATAAAAGGTCTTAATAATAACGTCTCAACTTAACTAAAAGGATAGTAGAAGCTGGTATCTCGGGGAGAAGACCAGAGAAGATATAATAGATGAGGAGAGGCCTAAATGCTCCTGGCCTATTGTTCATGTACATGCACCGATGTTGCTTCTCTCTGCCCGAACATTAATAGTCTCACGTGAGGTAATTAACTCGCGACCGCTGAATTTCCGGTATTAACGCATGATCTATGTCCTGGTTAACGGGAGATCACAAGAGATTTACTTTGTTTTGATATGATTAAGGACTACAGAAATAATATCCTGATTATTAGATAGATACATATATTTACAGTAGACTGTACAAATTATTTATTATTTTATTTTGTAATTATAATTATTAAACATTTCTCGTTAGGATATTCATTCCATAATGACCTTAAAGGCTCTGTAATGTCTTTATCAAGGAAATAACCATTAAATAATAATATTTTTAATAATTTCTGCAGATTATCAAATAAAAATTCAATTTATTAGAAATAAAATACAATAAAAAATGTATGTATACTCCATATAAATAAAACAAAAATATAAAATTTTTTTCTATAAAAAAAAAAAAAATTGATCGAGAACATTATAATATACTAATAATTTCGTTAAAAAAACGAACGGACATATAATTTGTTGATATATTACTTAACTACATTGTGTAAAATATAACTTAATAGTGGACGGAGTCATTAAGTCTATTATTTACATTTAATATTTAAAATGTTAGATTTTCTAAAGATGAAAAGACGATTATAGCAACGCAAAAAAATTAAAAAAAAAAAAGGTAAAATGATTGTATAAATTATTAAAACGTTCAATAGCGTAGATTTATTGTCAGCTTGAAACCAGCCGTGTAAGAGTAATTCAAGCATGTCGTCTGACTTTTTCTACTAGGAGAGTATCTTCTTTCAATTTGAGTTTTTATTCTGTTAAAATACTTGGCGAGTTTAATAATCGTCTTTCCGTCTTCTTTATTCATATCTTTTAAATCTTATATTGTCCTTTTAAAAAGAACGTTATAGTAATATGATACTATAAACACTTTCGTTGATCGATATTATGAGTATATTCTACTTTTTATATTAAATTAATATATTCTATAGAAATATATATCTATTGAAATTTAAAAGATATTAACTTATCTTATAAAGTGAATTGTAATAAAAAATGATATAATAGTGGCTATTGTCAAAGACGACGACAGACTCGTAGCACCATTACACGAATCTTCTGAACAGTAGCACTGTTGCCAATAAACTCCGTTTTCATCGACACCCCAATTACAGACATTTGTTACCCCCGTTTCTGCAACTGATGCACATCTTCGTACAACTTGTCTGAATCTTCCATCCCCTGAAAAAATAAAATTTTAATATTATTAAGCTTATAATTTAAACGATAACTTATATATTATTACACTACAAAATATTAATTCAATTCAAATTATTATGAATTAAGTTAAATAATAAATGATTAGATAAAAAGCACTCACAAATAAATCCACGAGGACCTTGTCGTATTTCTTTGACGCAAAATGATCCCGGCATTTTGGAGTCCTCGTCATTGCAATCTATTGAAATGTGCTTATTCTTATCAAAAGGTTCATAAGCACCACATAGATCTTCATTTTTTGGGTCTGAGTCACTACCACATTGATAACATCGAACAGCTTCAGTTTCTAAAAAATAATTGTTATAAATTATAAAAATTAAAATTGAAAACACACAGTTAATTGCAAAATAATTAATTAGCTCGGTAAATAGTCACCAGGGAACTAGTAATCTGTTTAATAATAAACATTAAATATCGAATGGGTAATGAGATTATTAAAGTGCAAATATTTATACTCTTAATGAGATCGACAGGAATGTGTGCTGAATAAATTGGATTTGATTGTTTTTTATAAATCAAAATTATATGAATATTAGACTATTGTTATTTAATAAATTTAATTTACAAAGCTAGGTAGATTATATTTGTAATTATAGCTAACAACTCCATTGTTATATCTGATTATTAATTATACAAGTTTAATAATTTTTATTTCAATATTACGAAAAATTTTTGTGATGATTAAACATATAAAAGTAGAGTGCAGTGTATATAATCATGTTGGTTATATAGATTGTTTATATAATTTTAAGCATAAATATAATTAATATGAAACTAATATCCTACCGATAAATAAATATACACTTATAATGCAACTCAAAGTTATAAATTTCACAGCATTCACCATGATGATAATGAGATTTTATATCAAATTTTACTTATATTATTTTGTTTTTAAAATGCAGAGTAGACAGACTTCCAATAACACTTGCTTGGTTTAACTTATTGTACAAGCACCTGCGTCATCCTGGGCGTGGGCCATGTAGGCTGAGTATGAGTCTCTCTGTTACAGACCATACTGTAGTAATAAGTAAACTATTAGTGTTACTACTCCCTCCCTGGAGTTATTTTTTACTCTCTCATTTGATATTTTTTTCTCCCTTTCACTCATTATCATGACTTATCGAAAAAAATTTACTCTCTAATGTTTGTAAGTTATCAATTTTTTTGTTGTCAATAATTATCAATTATTAATTTACTATCTAGAAATAGAATCACATTTTTTTTTATTAAAACCAAAACATAAAGAAGAAAAATATAAGGGTATTTATTTATTTATTTTTTTTTTTAAATATTCCTGATGTATTTTATTATTTGAAACAATAAGTTGGGTCGATTTTGAAAACTCAGAAAAACAGTTGTTTTAAAATTCAAATTTTAAGTGTATCAAAATTGATACTTTTGTGATTTTGCAGCGATAGTTGTATTATACAACGTTTTTCAACTCCTGATGTTGTTTTTTTTTGAAGCGTATAAAAACTAAAAAACATTTATCCAAATATCATAATTTAGAAATTCTTTATGTTTAAATTTGTTGGTGTCAAAGTTTAGAAGTAAAATCCCTATAACTAAATCACACATACTAACGACATTCCATTAAAATTAATTGTTTTTAAATAGCGGAAACTAGATAAACTGTGGACTACGGCGCGTTACTTTTGTCAAAAAAAAAAAAAAAAAAAAAAAATCAGAGCTACTTTAAAATCACGTCTTGAAAAGTTTTATTTCAAAATTATCACATTGATAAAGCTTGGCTTATTCTCTGACAGATGGAAATAGTCGTAATTTGTAAGAATACACCTGTAGGAAATCGTTATTACCGATACAGTAAATTTGAATTCTCGATGGAACGTTACGAATTTTATAATAAAAATTTATTCCAATATTTTTATCTGACGTGTATATGTTACGGAAATAAGAGAAGTGGCATTTGTGAGAAAATAATAAAAAAAAATGAATAAATGAAAATATAACTGCAGTACTCGTATGCGCACGTTCTCCCTTGACAATATTCCAGATGTAATCGAGTAGTTGCCTCATACATCCGATTCGCATCGCGTATTCCAATAAAGCAATCGACGTCAAGAGTTGTAGCGAACAAGAGGAAACGTGGTCACGCATCAACATTTTGGTTTTTTTTTTTTGCTTTAATTTTAAGCTTTGGAGCTCAAATTTTTCATCTGTCCAATAAAATATCATTGCGCCTTGTTAAAACAAAAAAAAAATATCTGACGAAGGTCAAATACGACTTGATGTAGCATAATTGTACAGGATACCGTACTGATACTGAAAACCGTGTGCTTGGAGTAGTTTTATCTGAGATAAAATGAACTAAATAACGATTGTGCAAGCGAGTGGATCGAGGTGTATTCTCGAGTGGGTGCAAATGAAAGTTGAAAGGGTTTAATAAGAGAAAATCCGTTTTTATCGCTTGTTACGCTAGTTGGTTTCGCGTTCAAGCTTCTACTCGTGCCAATAGACTCTTTATTCGTATTAAAGCACTTTGCGAATATACCGATATCAAATAACGATCACCATCAAAACGTACTATCAATTTAATATTTTATTTTATTACATTGCTCGTTTGATTTTAATCCATTTTAAATTCAAATATTTTTATTTTTACTAGATTTTATGAAAAAAAAAAAAAAAAAATTAAGTGAGAAGCGGAAAAAAGTCAAAATAAAAATTTGTCGCTTCATTAAGGTAAATTTTATTATGTGTAAAAATATAAAGATAACAACTATTGATGAAAACCATATGAAGCCTCAAAAGGCACAAATTTAGGCCAAGACCTTTTCAATTATACTAAATTTAACTAAAAAAAAATTATTTTATTGTATCATTGTGATGGTTACGTCACATTATAAACTGGTAAGAAATATAAAACCCATCATCCAGTATATCATAGGACACTGTCTATTTAGCACAAAGACAAAAAAAAAATTTTTGAATAAGAAAGAAAAAAGTAACAAAGGTAAAATGCATTTCACATGTGTTTTGGATAAATTATTCAAAACGGTTTTCTATGATCCATATAGTGTTGTTTCTGCTGTCTGGCAGTTGAGATCTCTTCTAGTATATTTTTTCTTCCTTTATTTTCTCCTCTTTATTTACTTTTTCCTTTTGTTTTTCTGTTATGTCCGCCACGGAGACTCGTTCATCTACCACGTGCGGCTGCGGCTGGAGTTATCCCCCTGTCTCAGCGCCGTGAGCAACGACGGGACGACCCTGGGGAATTCCTACTTTTCTGACAGCCACCGCCACATTTATCCCATCTAGCATTTCCAGACGAGCTTACAATAAAGGAAGTCAAAATCCAATAATTCCGATAACGCTTTGGGTATTTCATCTAATATACACCGTACTGAGTATACGTTTAAGAGTGTAAGAGTACCATTGAGGGTTCATATCGCTTTCGGGCCAATTCACACTCTCTACTTGTGTTATATATTTATCAACGCCCGTTATATATTTCATAGTCAGCCCTAAATTCCATATTTAATCTTATTGCCTCGGATATTTAATTATTAAACTCTCATATTCATCAATTATCTCTTACCTTTCCAATTGTCCTTCCATTTATTTTCACCCGTACTTGTATTGTCTTATTTTCTGTAATATTTCATTAAGTATTCAATTGTTAAATTGAAATTTGGGATTTTAATCATTTTTTGCATTTTAATTCAGTCAATTAACATCTTTTACGATAGAAAAGGAAGAAACTATATATGTTTAAATAAAGAAATACAAAACGATTTAAAAGCCAGTATAGTGGATACAATTGGTAATAACAATAATAATGAAAAATATTAAAGATTTTTTGTATTTAGTTATTCAACCGTAATAGAAACTGAATAAGAATAATGTAATATAAATTCACCAATGAGATTATAATGGACATTTTGAAATTCTATTGGATAATAAGCAGTGTTTTCTTTTTTTACCAAATGAAAGGACGATTTTTGTTTGCGTTAAAAAGAAAAAGCTTTCACCACGATTGTTATTTTAATTCGACGTTTTTTTTTAGTCATTAGCCCTTCGTTTTTCCCGTGGTTGGCGAATAAGCAGCCCTAGATAGCAGATTGCCAGAGTGCAGTAATTCTACTTTATTTCTTTTCCCAGCGGCTTTCTTTTGAGTTTTTTTACTTTTTTTAAGTTTCTCATTCTTTTCTTACCGTTAACTTTTTTTTTTTATTTTTGCTTTTACTTCACTTGTCAAGACTTAATTCTCAGGAATACTATTAAATCTACCTTAGGGTAAATGAAGCTTTTTTATTTTCATATGTGTAAATATTGTTTTTTTTTTTTTTTTTTTTTTTTTTTTTTTTTTTTTTTCCTGATGAAACACTAAGAGAAAGAGAATAAAATAAATGACTGTCTGATTCGGAATTATAAATTCATTTATTCATAAATTTTATACAAGAAATTCGAAATAAAAAATTGTTACTAATATTTTAATAAAAAATGAAAATCAGCAAAATAGTAGAATTAATAATTTATTTTACTAAGAAATTGATACCATTTTCGTGTCCAAACATCGTAAGCATTTTGCTTCTCATTGTCGCTCATACTGCTATAAATAATAGAATTAATAGCTAGCTGTTTCAACGCCCTGATGTCAGCATCTCTGGACATCATTCCAACAAACGCTTCATAAAAATCATAACTAAGCGCTTTTGATCCCCATAAGCCAGGATCATCATTAGAAACGACAACAGGGAACCCTCCAGCAAAAAGGATATTTGCCGGATGATTGCGCAGATCCTTAACCAGCCCTAATACTTGATTTGAAATGGGACAGATTTCGATGGCAATTTTTCTTTCTTTCACTATTTTCAGAACTTCCGGGTGCTTCACAATAGCGTAGCCATGTCCAATTCGTGTCGTGTTTAACAGAACGGCATCCAATAAATTTCTATCAGTTTTTGAGCCGTACCAATTAGTTTCTCCGGCGTGGAAAAAGAAACCTACTTCATTCGTCATACGCTGAAGCTTTTCTGCATACAATTCTAACGAATTTCCTGTATCTTCTTGACCAACAAGATCAAATCCGGCAAAGAAATCTGGAAATTTTCTTTTTATTTCCAGTGTTGTGTCGATATATTCGTCTAATTGTGACGTTGACATTATTCTCAAAGGTGCAAATATTATTTTCACTCCAATAAAATCTGGATGATCTTTGATGAATCTAAAACAGTGAAAAATAAGGTTTCGAAATACATAAGTAAATTTTAAAACAAGTAATAGTACACGCTATATCTTCAATGTTGTATCGTCTGATAACATGACTCATTTTCATAATTACTCAGCTTACTTATGTTTTTTTTTTTTTTTTTTAATTCTTATCTACGTACTCTGATCTAAAAAATTCTTTTAGATACTGTAAATGAATTTTAGAATTACTACATAAATAAATAAAATAAATAAAAACAATTTTTGATAAATTATCTTTCGATAAAATATGAAAAAACTAAAATTAAATTATTGATTATATGTATAAAATTTTCTTACCTCTCAGTAACTTTTTTGTAAATTCCAACCACATCAATAGGACTGTATTGAGTTCCATTTAATTCATAAAGTGGCGGTAAAGTTGAACGCAATTCTAAATACAATACATTGTCTTTATACAGTTCTTTAAGACCTTGATAAAAATGATCTTCATAAACCGGTCGGTATGTTAACATTGGCGTAATTAAAATGAATATACTCATAAACTTTTTCCATGCAGAATTCACGTCAGGGTACATCCTATCAGGATTGTCAGTCATCATGGAAAATTCTTTGCGAATTCGTGAATTTATTTCCGCCGCAAAAGTCTCATTTTTACGAAGTTCTTTCAGTAATTGCCAGTCACAATCGTCTGTAGGCGAGTCAAAGAATCTTAGCTGTAAATTTTCAGCTTTATCACATATATATAAATTATCCCGGAATGTTACATTGTTGTATAACCATTCTTCTGAAACTATAGCTGTATCGTGGGCATGAAGGACGGCACCTTTGGGCATCATTTTTATGATATTGAATAATTTTGATTCTTTTATGTCATTTCGTACTTCAATAAAATTTTTAGCGGGTAAAAATTTCGCTTTGCCTCTGAATCCTAGAAAATAAATTCAAAAATGATAAATTATCAAGACTTTTAGACCTTTTTACCTGAGGTAATTACAGTCATGTTCAAACAGGTTCTTTTCCCCCAAAAGATAAAATGTACATTTAACGCATAGACAATTTTCCTAAACACGTGTATTTTAAATTTTAACGTATTAATTTTAAATGACAGCTTTACAACTTACAAGAAATATAGTTTAAAAATTAAACAATAAAAACAATATAGTCAACCGAAGACTTGCTCTTAATCTTCGATTGCAGAGAAAAAAAATCAAGATCTTACATGCATAATTTAATAGTCGTATTATCTACATACCATCATCGATTTCTTTCCTCTTAAATGTTAATAACAAGTCATTCACCAACCGTTCTTTCGGATCAAGTGATAAATCACCACCTAGCGAAATTCGTTCTTCTTCAATTATAAGTGCGGCACGTTTGCTCCAATAATCGTGACTGTAACATTCTACAGCAATAACAGCGATGATCAATTGAATTAATAAATTTACAACAACGCAAGAGCCTTTCATCGTTTATATTAGTTATATCACTTTAATTAGTTCACAAATATTGACTCTGTGTACAATCGCTATTTCAACGTGGTACTAATTATTTTTTTATATTAAGAAAAAAAAAAGCCACTTATACTCGAGATAAAATTCCCATTGATATAAATCTGATAGCTATTACGTAAAATAATAACAATAATGCTATTTACTGATAAGTGAACTACTTGCTGGCTCACTATATACTAGAAGATGTATTTAATACTTATAGCGTTAAAGACACTACTATTTATGAATACATATATATATGTATATTTATGAGCATTACAGGGAACCAATCAAAGCATCAATAATTGTCACGTGTTTTTGTATCTTATAGGTAGTACTATTATTTCAAATGAATCATCTATTGTTTGATCATCATTTATAGAACCATTAATTGATATTTTTTTTTTTTTTATTGATTGACGTTCTTATTTATGATATCTATTGATAAACAGAACAATCTATAATAAATTGTTAAAATAAAATTTTTTTTTAACTTATGGTTCGCAGGGGTGAGGAAATAAATAGGGTTTAGTACCGAATTATTACCGACAGAGGGACATCCCTTAATATGGAGATAACTATTGAATAAATATATGGATAGTTTTTTTTTTTTTTTTTTATTGCAATGAAGAAAGTCAAAATTTCGCTGTGCAGGCTGTAATTTTTTCGTTGTAATCTGGATTAAACAATAAGCAGTATGAAATGAATATGATACCATGTATGTTATTATAGCAAAAGAAAAATTGAAAAGAAAAAAAAAAAGGAATAAATAATTTATTCGTCTGGCGGGACACAACCGTCAGCTAGTGGCTTGCAACCGACGCTGCGTAACCGTTCAAAGGCTATGACGAAGTGCCTGAAGCGGAATGAATATTTCATGGAGTAGCCATCATGGAAAACCACAGCAGCCCATTCTCTGTTTCACTTTTTCGTCTCTACTTCCGCTATATCTCTCTTTTTTCAGTCTAGCCTATTTTAGATGTAAAGTAACACTATCAAGAATTTGCAATTCCCATTGGAAATGTGTCGGATAATTGAAAAAATGGAAACCATTTTCAATAACATTCAAAATGATGACACTATTAATCTATGATAAAAAAAAATTTTCATCAATAAAATCATTCTAGAAAATTTACTTTCTCTACAATTTTATTTTTTTTATATGTGTTTAAATTTTCCCGCAAACAGAAATAGTCTGGTATATTGAACGCATTCACGCGTTGCGACAGTTTAATTACAAACGATAGAAAAACACGCGCGAATTAATTCTATAGAAAACTCTGTTTGAAAAAATTTATTACAAATAGCTTCCGGATGAGTAAAAATTAGAAGAAAATAATGATAAAAATTTTCTATTTATAAATAATATTTTTTTCTATCACTAAACTTTTTATATTATTTATTTTTATGTATACATAATGAATTTTATTATAAACTTATTTCTACTGTTCTGCGGATTTACGATAGAGGAGTTAATTAAAATACTAGCAGACGAAGGATAAAAAATAATCGAACTTGTTAATCCGAATATATTTTCATCTGCTAAGTCGTTTTGGCATGCGGCTTAAAAGTTACACCATATTTTACGGTCGAGAGATAATTCATCGTATGGGTATTCGCATTCATCTGGTGGACTTATGGCAGTTGCGTTTTTAAACTTTGTTATTTAAACTTCTGTATCCGTTCACTGCTGAGTTACTTCCTTTCAGCCTCACTCCAATCCTCAACTGGTAAAACGTCGTTGAGACGAGTCACGCGGAATAGAAATACAGACACAACTTCCTGGGATCAGACGAGGAGCTAACAGCCCGCCTAATAAAAACCCAACTTTCAAAATTTTACGAATAATTGATGCATTGCATACAGTTATCATTATAATTATTACGTTTATTTTGTTTCTGGGCTCATATTTTATTCCTGTCAAACTTTTTTCATTTCCTTTAATTCCAATTCACTTCTCTGCGTTATAAAAACAATCCATTTTAATAAAATTTATTTTTTTTTTTTCCCTTTTTTAATGAGGTGCAGAGGGAAATAGTGGAAAATATCAAGCTGGAAAGATGGCATGAGTATTGTGGATGGTAAATTCATTTTGCCTCTGTCCTTTCGCAGATTGAAAATGACGGATGAATATAAAATGCAAATAACGAAGAGTATATATAATAATTATTTGTGTTTCTTCCGCTTTTGATATTGACGTTTTCGAAGAATTTATTATATAAAGTAAATTTATTTAAATACTTATTAAAAATAACAATAATTATGCAATCACATTTATTATTATTTAAAAATTAAAAATCTTTTGACCTTCCTACTACTTTAGCAGGCGTTTAATATTTTTGCACAAATCAAGAGTTTATATATCTTTACCCGTTTATTTTAACAAAATATATATTTCTTGGAAATATTATCAAGTATTATTTTAACTGTAAGAAATTTGAATATTATGAATTATTAATATATTTTATGCTTCACAAAATAAAATAACTAACTTTATGTAAACAATTTAAAATAAACCAAAGTATGTTTGTTAGGCATAAATTACTTTGATGAGATTTGAAAAAATATTTAACTCAAAGTAAATATTTATTTTTTGGTGTTTGTAGCTGAAATTTACAAAATAAATATTTTTCTACTCTCCACTTGAAATGAAATTTTCTAATTTAAATAATTTTATCCTGTTAACACACGAATACAGTAATAGATGGGAAGTAAGACCCTGTAGTAGTTGGCAAAGTGGGATATGAGGGTATGAAAAAGTTTGTTGTAGAATGCAATTTATGTTTATCGTTCAAGCGGCTCAATTTCATGTGAAAATAACTTACTGGATCAGACGCTTGATATTACCTATGCGAGAAACGATTACATCGATCGCAGCAAAGGTCGGAGAAGGTGTTTTTTAAAAGAGTGAGAAAAAGGATAGAGGCATTAACAATGTTATGGGCCAAAAGTATGAGGGAAAGCATAGATTTGAATGCTGAAAAAGTTGGGCGCGATTTTCTCTTGAGAGATGGAGAAAATTTTAAATTTCTTGCGCTCGCGAGAAATCGTTGAAATCTATCGTATCGTTTATGAAAATTTTCTTTCATGCGCCTTAAAGTATCTTGGTTAAGCTTTAATAGAGATAAGCTCGACTTATGTTTTCGATAAGATACTTGTTTTAAAATTTTTCAATTTTATTCCATTTTTATAAAATTACTCATCGATGATGCTTATTGCAACCATGATTGCGATTGCTCTCACTCTCATAGGTTCTATCGAGTTTGGAAAATAGCTACATAAGAATCATATATATGTACATTTTCACCCCGGGGCCATAACGTTATTGCCTCTACTTGAATCGTTTCTCATCCCTTTGAATGCAGTTTCTTCCGCTTTCTCTCTTTCCCTAGCTTTCGAAACTCACCCAACTGAAAATTCTGTTGAGAAAGACTGTTGCAAGTTAACTTGTAAATTTATTTGCTAAAAACACTATACATTTATGCTTTGACTATTATTACATAAAATATCAATTGTTTCGTAGATAAGTATTCCTTTAAGTGAACAAAACTTTTTCAAGATTAGATATGAATATCTTCTGTGAGATACTACATCTTACAAGTTGTTGCATGAAAATTGTTATTTATTATTAATTATTTTTTTTTTTTGAGATCTTATTGAGATGAATCCTTTGACAGAGTGTGTCTGCTTGTTCGAATTTACAATTGATATAGTTTGGTATTTATATACGTGAAAATGTTTTCTTGATACTTTTTTAATATTAATTATTATCTTACAGATACCATTTCCTGGTAATAAATAGAATGGTTGAATAGAATAAAGTGTAACAACGTTTGAAAATAAAGTTTAAATTAGAATGTCTTCCAATTTGTAAAATTAACTTGTAATGGATGTTAAGTACTTTAGAATTAAACTTCATAAATTGGATTAATTCGATTGAAACGAATGAGATTGTTGAATAGTGCTGAATGACGTGGTTTCTAAATTACTGTGGAACCAGTAGCTGGTAAGCGCTGAGAAATTTTCATGAGGTCAAGTATAGAGTATTTATTACATGGCTTCTGAGATGGTTAGTTTGAAATAAAGTGACTTTTCCTTTTGCTTCCTATACTGTACGGTGGCTCGTAAATATTCCTAGGCAAGATTGGCCAATAAATTTTGCAAACTTTCCTGGTCGCTAGCATTTTAATGGGAAGCTTTAGAGAGCTTGCGCACACTTGTACCAAAAGTAACTCCGGTATGTCCTTTGCTTTTTTTTTTTTCTAGTTTAAATTTCAAGTTTTTCCCGTGTACTCCCCGAGTTTCTTGTAACTTTGGCTTGTAACACAGTCATGATTTTCTTGACATAAAAAAGCTCTCGGCATCATCTGTTCAATTTTAAATTTCAAACAACTGATACACAAATCAATGAATTATTTATTTTTATGTTATCGGATAAACTTTGTAAAACATAACATGTTCGATAAATGGACATCGAAACAAACAATAAGTTAACTTACTTGGCTCTGATTTTAATGGTTTAATTTTTTTTTTTTTTTTTGGAGTCTTACTACGCGTCAGCCTTCTGGCCTAGACACGTGGGATTTTTACGTCCCTTCCTACTATTTATTGTTATATGTGTTTGATGTGCCGAACTACACATCTTAACCTCCTATCCGCGGCTGTGGCCGTCTTACAGTCTGTACCCGCATTCGCCTGTGACTCACCCTTAGCACAGTGACCGAGGAAACCACAGAATCCTAGCCAGGATACAGTCGGCAAGGGAGCAAGCCTTGGAAATCGCAGAAAAATTGCGGCTGCCAAGGCTCGAACCCACGCCTGAGCGACTGTTGAACGGGCAATTTAAGACTTAAACCGCTCGGCCACGCAGTCGCTCGATTTTAATGGTTTAATTAAAAATTTTTTTTAATGTTTTATTTTTTAGAAAATAATACAAATAAATTATTGAGGGCTTATTCGTAAATCCTGTATGAGTGAATTGATAAATATTTTCGATCCATTGAGAAAATAATAAGTTTTGATAATATTTCCAGAGATGGCGACACAAGTACTGTTGGGTAGATCGATGATGCAGCATAACTCGTTGATAAATAAGATTATATGATCCATAAAAGGTTTAACTATTATCTAAAATCATCAATTATAGTAAAAGTATTTATTTAAAATATTATACCCCGCCTTTTTTATTAGTCGATTGATTTTGTAAACTTTTATTATGAAATAGAGAAAGCACAAAAGTTTAAGGGTGTGACAGAAAATTTAGACTAGTAACTATAAAAACAATTGAATGTACACAAAGACCTTATATAATCTTATTTTATATTTATTTTCTTTAAAGACAATAGTGCTATTTCCTTCGGAGTTAAGGCGAGAATTTCAAACTTTCAGTGCAGTTATAATAAAGAAGTATGTTTTGCTGACAAACGATTGCAGTAGAGGGTGAGTGTTGACTGTCCGAGCGGAGCAAACTCTAATGTCTACAGAGACTCGTCGGAGTTTGAACATACAGCCGGTCGAAATGATACAATATAAAACCGATATCGCTTGTTTCAACTGTCAGCTTGGTTGGTTATGAGGTTCACGAACAACAAATGCAATTCTGACAGAACTAAAATAGAGTTAGAAACTAATGCACCGGGCAGAGACAGAAACACGTCAGTTTCTTCCCCGGAGATGAAACTTATTAGTTTCTGTCCACTCTAACGAAATTAGGCAGTCGTTGAAGTTAAAAATTTTAATGCAAGTTATAGAAAAAATATAATTCATACAATTCATGGGATAAATTTTGCAAACCGTAATTGTATTAAATTTTAAATAAAATAAATGAAGGACATACGGGCATATCTGATGCAGGAAGCATAAGCCATTTGATCGCATGCCCAATACATTGCTCACGTATCCATTAATCCCATAAACGACGACGTGCCATGGACTCGCCATAATTCTGGGCAACCGATGGTCTTCACACGCTGACATATCGTTTTATGTGAGCGAGAGGTAAATACCACATCGCATCAATCGATCTGGACATCAACCCCTTCATCCTCTCATTATCCATCACGTATCACGTACACGTGTACTTCCAGTATCTACATACGAAAACTAATTAATTAACATATCATTGATTTTCTTATCCCTATTAACTTATTTTAAATATATTAAAAATCAATGATTAATAAATATTTATTTATGCCAAATTGACCATTTCGCTGGATATTTTTTTTTTAACCGTGTCGAATAACGAGTTGATCAATAATTTTGTAAGAAGCAGCAGACATTGTCGGAACTGAGCGATTAATGAAAAAGTTATTTAAAAAGTTACAAATTTATAAGTACAAAGGAGGTATCGACAAAAAGGTTCAATTCGATATTTTTTTTTTTTTTTTTTTTTATTTTTACTCTTTTCCCTCTTTAACTCGGGCTTTGAAAGAGTGGACAAAAGAACGCGGTGTTACTTAGATATAACGAGGTAGGCAAAGCGCGCCAACACGGAAAACAGAGTAGAATATTTAAGAAGCAACTAACAGGAAAAGTCTCAAGAGCCAGGGATTCCTACTGTACTGAAATTCCACTTTATCCTCTTGTCTTTTTTTATGTAACCATTTTTTTTTATTTTTTTTTATTTTATTTTGTTCTATAGTTTCTACTAGCACTTTTGTAAAAAGCGTTTCAAGTGCACGTATCTCGTTAGCGAATCATTAGCAACTCTTTGGGCGAGCCAAAATAGGCGACGAGTTGTATGAAAACCTCAGGCCAGACACGTGGATCAGTTTAAATTACCAAAAAGGAAAAAAAAAATCGTTTCGCATCAGCATTGGAAGAATTTTTTTTAAATTTGTTGTGCCTCGTTTTCCCTGCTCTTCCATTTGTACGTAATTGCTGAGGATGATCCTGGAGGATCATTTTAAAAATTTAACTCGACCCTCCAGCCTGTTGAGGGCGAGATGACATTATAATCTCGTGTACTCAAGAAGTTTTCAGATTACGCAAGGTTTTCTCATCTAATTTATTCCTGTACACTTAACTTACGAAAGTTGGACGAAAAGTGTGTCAATCGATAATAGTTTATCCAAGTAATACTTAAACTTAAGCGTATCCCATCATTGATCATGGATAAAAGGGAAAGAGAATGAGCATAAACATGAGAAAGAGAGATGTATTTGCATGGATACTTACATAACTTTGTTGACAAGACTTCCATCCGGTTGACGCGTGGAACTATAACGCGTATAAACTAATTCTAAATCACAAGACACTTTCGCGTTGCCTTCTGTTAGCGGAAACTCTGTCGCGTCTCTTACTATATCGTTGTCACATTCCTCTGAAACTTTTTGACATTATTACACGTAAGTTCAAGATAATTATAAATTAATAGATTTTTTAATTTTTAAAGAATAGTGTTTGAAAAAAATTTTCTGGTGATTATTTTTATCATCAAATAAGTGCTAATAGTTAGAAATATATTTTTTTTGTCTTTATAAAAAAGTCCATTACTATTTGTAACAATGAATATTCCGATGTACAGAGTGCATAAGAATTTGGAAACACCTTTGTCAATCGGTAAAAGACGTAAAGCACTTTAGCTTGTCGTCTACAAACGAAAAGCAAGAGAGGTGCTTTCATCTCATACCTGCACCGGACGTCGTGACAATGGACTGTGAAGATCACGTCGTTTCTCATGGCCAGAGGCCATAGCTTTTCTGGATTTTCTACCCATGACAGTTAGATATTATTATATATACTTCATCTTTTTCGCGGATAAAATTACTCTCTTACGAATTTTTTTAGCACGTTTTTTCCTTCCCTACTTCATCTTTGACTTTTCTTTTCCTTGCACTTTTTATGTCGCCCAACTTTATGAGTAATGTTAGTAGAATAAAATTGATGTCTATGAACGTTAAAATATATTACTATTACTTTTATTATTTATATACTAATAAAAAAATTATATTTTTAAATTTTCTGGATTACAGTGATAGTATGCAGATTTTTATGTCTCAAAGGACTCTTTTATTTACTAAAATTAATAATCACTATCTTTCTATATTAAAAACTTGATGAAAATGGAATATATTTATTTACTATTTTTTTTTTTTCTTTCTTAATTTGTTTAAAGTCGCATAAACTACTAAGGTCATGAGCGACTACTATAGGGGGTAAACTTTTTGAGATTGGAACTCGTTTTATTTCTTGGGCTGAGCAGAATAATACACTTAAATATTGAAAATATTCATTGGTGTACGCCGGACTCGAACCCGGTCCAATGCTTTGGTAAGCAAGGGCCGGATCCGATAGGCTACTGCGCGCCATTATTTACTATTATAAGTCATATTTGTAACTAATTTCAGCTGGCGAATTCCAGTTGAATTTCATGATAAATTTCAAAATATTATTTTGCATATTGTTAATTATAATCGTTAATTATAAGTCAGGATAAATTCCAATATAATTGACTGCGAATATTTTTTTATAGATTAAAAAAATTAAAATTCGTATAGAATTTTTTTCAAAATCATCATGAAATTTTCATCCAAATTTAAAATCCAAATTTTTATTTGTACGGGCAGGATCAGTAACCTTTCCGGAAAATAGAATAGTATTATTCTTGTTTGTAATCAAATACATGAATGGTCGATCAACAACAAACTCAACTTGTTTCAAGTCCGGGTTATGTGGTCTATCAGATCTGAAGTTAAAAATAGTTTCTGCAACAATAATTCCATATTAGATTGTTTAAAAATTACTTGAATATAATCGCAAAAAAAATGGATTCTTAATTTTTTTAATGAATACATACGAGTAGCAGCAACTGCTTCAACGCCATTTTCATTTACTTCAAAAATCGTTTTTTGAACAATTTTGGTTATTTTCATTTCAAGAGGTTTTTTGCTCATTCTAGAAAAGTTAGCATTGTCTTGAAATGGAGTAACCAAATTCCCATTTGGTTGAGCGGTATTTTCAAATCGAATTGGTTTTCTATTTTGAATTTTGGTAAGAACAATCTCACTTGATATGGTGTGCCTTTGACAGCGCTTGGTTCCATTTTCTCAAGATTATTTTCAATAATGTCAAGTCCATCAATTTCGTTTGGCAATATAACGATCATGTTCATCAGGTATTCATATGGATGATTACTCTTTTGATGATTAAAAAAAAAGATTGTTTAGAATATTTTAATTATTCAAGAATCTTAACTAATTTATTATAGAATACCTTGAAACGCAACCGAACAAAAGTTGCATCAGATTCAGGAAATGGAAAGTTTTTAACTTTGTATCTGATTGTTAAAAAGGTGAACTCCACAGTGCTTTGAAGTACACTGCATTTACGAGGACTAGCATAGTTTCCTGATCAATATCATCTACGGAAAATGAAAACCATCACAACATCAACTCAGTACAAAAGCAAGTCAAATGATAACATTGCCAAGCAAATGTTGACAAAAGTATTTTATTAGTTTAACTATACGTAAAAGATCATGAAAATACTTACCAGGGTCGATAATTTCTTCAATACGTTGGTGAGTTTGTTCTGCACACCATTGATTGATTGCTTGAGCCGTTTCAGCAGAATTTTTAAATTCAATATTTTCAATCGAAGAATTAAAAGTCGTCTTAATTAAGTTTATATAGTCAGGGTCGATTTCTATATCTTTGGCGATATACATTTTATTTGCCAATTTAACTTCTGATGCTTGAATGGCCTAAGTAAATAAATTACCGCTAAGTTTCTCTAATTAATTAATATTATTTTAACTTGGTTGATTAGAAAACTTACATTAAACATTTCGATCATGGAATATATGCCCGTTCTATGAACGGAATTATCAGGATCAAAATGTAATACAGACTTCATTTCTTCAGCATTTTCACCACCCGCACCACAAGCTGCCATCATGAGTACTAGGGCTGCGCTCAATGGTGATATGACGAAATTTTTTGTATTGCTTGAAATAATCTTTTTACAAATAGATATTTCATAATTGTGATCATGGTTTTCATTAATTATCATTATCAATAAAAAGCAATTAATTAATATTCACGTAAGAGTTTTCTTATCTTATGTAACTCAACAGTGAATCGATTAATTCCGAGTGATAGGTACATTATGAATGAGTTAATGTATTTAATTCATAATTACTTACTGATCGCCATGGTATTATTTTCGATTTGTCGCAACAAGTGGGTATATATTATTCTTATACGTTACTTGTCCGCAGAAAAAATATGACTGAATGAAAGATTCAAGAGTGCATGATTATTTTATAGGCAATTATACCCGAGTTGAAAAATTTAAACTGATTTTAAGCTAAATGATCTGCATTTGAACTTATTGATCTGTATTTGAACTTTAAAAAACATTTTTATCGGTATTTCATCTACTATTAAAATTATTTTTGATCTGTTTTAAGTTTAAATAACCTTTTAGTAAAATAATTGAGCAACTATGAATATTTTATGCTGTTTCTAATCTAATGAAACTAAAAAGTTTTAAAAGTTTGATCGGTTTTTAGTCTAGTTAATTTGTAGATGGACATTATATATTGTTTTCAAATTCAATATGAAATCTTATACTGTTTTTGATCTACAATTTTTACTCTAAATGTTCGAAGGCCAAAAGTCGACTAAGATGGTGACTTATAATTTTTTGGATTTAAAAGTATAACTCATTAAAAATTATAAGTCGCATTTATTTAAAAAAATAAATTAATTTATAATATATTCATGCGCTCTCTTGTTTTATAAACTGAACGTCGATTATAACCTTACATATCTGTCATATTTATTTGTCATAGCTCAACATTTCATGGATTATGAAAGTTTTGTAACTGCGAATATTAGTTGCAGTGATAACTAATAAATTTGTATTAATATACATTTATAAAATAGTTTTCATCGTTTAATTATGGATCTAAATCTAGAGTTTTCTAATTATCGTTATTAAACACAATGTAAATACATCGAGACAAGATTAAAATGTTGACAAGATTAATGTTAAATTTTATACTTTCACGCATCATTCAATGAGCGGTATCCACTATTTGGTAGTGCGAAGAGTACCGTTTGGTATAAATTGCACTACGAAATAGTGAATGGTCACTATTTCAGTTTCAGAGAATGAAAAGCCGTGCCCTGTAGAGGATCTTCGAGGACATGAATAAAATAATAATAAATAAATATATTATTATTATCAAATTCGTAAAAGGTCGGTTTTTGATCTACAGGCGATGAAAAACCGACTAAAAATTATAGAACGTTTTGGTCTGTTTTTGACCTTGATGCGATCAAAACCAGCTAAATGATTGTGACGAAAAAAGTCTGATTTTAGTCTTGAAACAATAGAAAACAATTTTATTATAACATTAAAAATGATCTGAAATTGGTTAAATTCTCATATAAAATAGATACACATAATAAAATTAAATTGAATGAAAAATATTAAAAAATTTTATTAATCATAAAACAGACTAAATTTTTTGACCCGGGTAATTGGAAATAACCGTTAATATGGCCGATTAAAGTAGCAAAGTTATTAATATCTGAGGTAGTTCATAGATCGTTTTAAAATAAATATTTCATAAATCGATAAATATATTTATAGTGGTGACGCCTCATTATTTCTCAGTCTTTGATATCTCGGCAATCATATCTCCACAATTAAAGTATACTTTAAAAGTAAGTGTTTTCAAGGTAATGAAACAAAAAAACTTGGATAAAATATATTTTTAGTTGGAAATTATATAAAATTATTTTTAGACATAATGTTAAACTTTAATATTTGTTAAAATACATTGTGTATTTATAGTTTTAAAAATAATTGAAGGGTAGGCTCTCTGAGTTATTACAATCATTATTCGAGCATAGTTTTCTTGAAATAATAACTAACTTTCAATTCATTCTAATAAACATTTGATAAGGTTTTATTATAAATAGTAATAAACTATTAACCTGTTTATGTTGAAATTGGAAATTTTTTTATCCTAAAATCTAAAAGCTAAAAACAAATATCGGTCAATAACATGTAAAGGTCCCTTACCTTACTAATTATATATTTAATTGGGTTTATAACATTTGTTATAACAGTTTATAACATTGATGATATAAAAAAATCAGTTTCAAAAACCTTTTCTTTCAGAAAGGGTGAATGTCTTGAAACACACCCTTTTGATTTTAGAAATTAAAATTTTTTTTACGCTCTTTTAGCGCAAAATTTTATGAAACTGCTATAATGCGCTCTTTTGGCATTCGAGACGCGAAATTGTAGAGCTAGAAGATAATACGCTTGAGAAAACTTGAGAACAAAAAAAAATAAGAAAGAATTTACTATCTCATATATTTTGGTGTAATACGCAGCAATATTTGTGTTAAATAATAAATCAAACGTTTATCTATACGCTGCTTGCGTAACACGGTTATGTGAGAAACAACAAATGAAGGTACAGAAATAAAGAAATATATACGTAACTGAACAAAATAGATAATAAAAAAAAAAAAACAGAAATGTATTTGATGGTTATTCGGAGCAATGTGTAGAAAAAAAGTCTGGGATTCTCACACTTTGGAAGTATCAAAACGAGCTTTTACCGTTGAAATGACTATTCAGTAGCGCCCTTATCGATCCAAAAGGATCCAAACAATTTACCCTCTCCACTGCACATTTTACGTGTCTTGCGTACATACAAGGTGCGTCGTCAAATAAAATACCGGGCATTCCATTGTTTTTTCGCCACCTTATTTATTTCATGTTGTGCAGAATCTTTTCTATTTCTTGAGATCCTACCGATCCACTGTTAAAATCGCCCTTCGTAGAGATATCACTGCTAAGATGTTGGCATATACGCATCTCGACTTTTTATCACCTTATTATCACAGATATTTTACTTTCACTGATAAACTTATAAGCAGAAACTTAAATAATGGTTACTTTATGCTGTTTTTTTTTTTTTTTTTAATTATATTTACTACAGAAGCTCAGAGGATTTCATAAAAATTTTTAAATTTTAAGGATAAAAAGTAACAAAACTATGTTTTACCAGTTTTAGATAATTTATATCGTTAAGCACAGTCGCTGATAGTTTTTGGCTAATTTAACGTCGACGATAAACACAGACGGAGACCGTTCATCACCAAGTCCTTCGGGGTTACTATGAGAGGAAGAGAAAATAAGAGAAGAATGCCCGGACCAAGAAGACAAATTGCGCAGTGTACCCCCCGGACCCTTACGGTCTGTATCTTAGTAATTCGCAAACCTTAAGATTACCTTCTCGATCCCTTATATTCGTCCTCTCACTCTTTCACGCTGTCTACCTAATGCTAGTTTGTCTACGCAATCCTTCTTTCTTCCTCCACGCTGGATATGTGATTGCGTAAGGTTTTTGTTCATTTCAACTTTTTACGATTTGCTTTGCTTTTTTGTTCCAGTCGACCGGAAAAACCTGACATTAGTTCCTCTACAATAATCAGTATTTCACTTGTTTATTGTTTAGTTTTTCTATTTCTCAGACAAGTTGATACTCGGGAAAATTGAAAGTTTTTTCTATCACCGTAGAATTTTCTACCCCTATTAATTTTCAAACTATTTATAAATTATTGTTCAATTCTATTACAAATAGGACTTGGCTAGTAATATATTTTTGACTAAAATTGAATCCTTCAATAATTAATTTTTTTTTTTTTAGTACAGATTAATTTAATACCAATGAAGAACAGTTAGGAAAACGTTGAGAACGCAAGCACAGCAGTATTTACATAAAAAGGTAAATCTCAGGAATTATTTTCACGGCGTTTTAATTAACTCACATATTCTAGACGCGTTATAGTAATACAAAGAATTTTATTTCATGCCCACTGGGAAATAAAGGTTAATGAAAGTCAAATTTGTAAAAATAAAAGTACGAAAATTATAATTGCATTCCATAGACAAAAGCTGAGTGGATTTGAAGGATCCGAGATGAATAAAGTAGAGACTAGATAGAATCATTAAAATCACTTTTGCTGGTAGCTTTTATGAATTCGAGCTGTGGCCAAGCGTTCAATCGTCGATTGTGTCCACGACCAAAAATTGCTGCCACTCGACTCTCCCTCGAGGAATAATCTATTCTATTCTATTCTTTGAGCGTGCAATGCCGGAAGCAACTGCGGGAATATGCTCGTATATGTTGAAAAAAAAAAAAAACTTTTTTTATTTTATATGCTAAAAATTGTACAATATAGCCGCGGATCATATAGTTGCTCGGGACAATAATTAAATTTTTATGAATTATGAAACAATAAAAATTATTTTGAACAGTGAAATGAGATTTTTTAATTGCAATTTCATATTTCACCGTAACTTAATAACACAGATTTTTAATAATAACAAAATAAACTTATTTGATTAAAAATAAATAATTATGTACTGAAAAAAAGTAGATTTCCCCTTAAAAATTACATTACTCCGATCTGACTGAAAGTGGTTAGGTCGATTTTATTTCATATCTTGTCAAATATGGCAAGCTTTAATTAATATTAGCTGTAATTATCGACTTAGTTTGAGAAGCAAAAGAAATAGTGATATTGAATATGCCAAGATAGTTTCTCGTAAGATGTGTAAACTTAAGTTTAACAAGACTTCCAGTTGAACGGTTGAACAACTCCGATAGAGTAATGGAAACGGTGGCGTAGTTAGTTTGGGTATCTCCGGTAGTGACGATGAGAAATACCATTATAGAGATATATTTGTTCTCTTTGACCATTGCCTTTGATTCGAATGCCCAAAGGGCATAGAGGAAAGAGGGCCATGACATGAACCGACTATAAAAGCTCGAAGAAACCAATATCGGGTTTTCTCAATCATCGTCCATTCTTACTAAACTGCACAAGTGCAAAGAATACCTTGTATCATGTATGGATCTACACATACATATTTTATACATTCTTATCCTGAAAGCATAGAAAGGATCGAGAGAACTTTCTTGATAGTCTCTATACCCGTTTTGCCTTACATTCAACACAGAGTTTTTCCTTTGAAAA